AGAACTGAAGAAGCTTCTCAGATGAGAGGTGAAACGTCTTCAAGCAACTTAAACAAGTCCAGACGCTTTTCTTTCCAAGCTCCTTAGACTACGATGAGCTGGATGACTGAGAACCTTCACAGATATATTCACAGATATTCATCCTATTAATTTAGTTTACACCGAAAACTAAAAAATCTGATCTTTGTTATTCTGCTGTTGCATCAGTCCCTGGACCTGGAACATCTGCTGGATTTTCATTTATCATCTGTTTGTATTTGCTCTTGAAAAATCCAGCCTAGGAGTGTAAGGGGAAAAAAAATCAAGCAATCGTGAATTTCAGTTGCAGTAAAAATGAAAATAAATAACCAAGCTACATGAATGAATATTGTAACCTCTAAATTATTTTTTAACTGGACATCTTCACTAAAAACTTTTGAAACCTTTGTAATTATTGAAAAAGTGTAAGAAGTGTCTTTCACCTTGTACAGGCCAGCAGTGAGTAAAGCCAGAAAAGCCAACCCTCCCAGACATCCTCCAATAATTTCTTTGGTGAAATTTGGCTCAGGATACACTTCTACCACAACTTCAATCTGAGAGAAAACAGGATGTCGATGCCAAAGAAGCTCTTAATAACTTAAACAATAGACAAGAATGTGTACTCACCTTGCGAACAGGAGGGTTGTCAGAACCTGTTGAAAAGTAGATGTACTGGTTTTTGTCGTACTCAAGACTGACTGTGCTGGTTAAGAGGAATTTGGCAGATTGAAGTCCAATCTAAGAAAAAAAAATAGAATGAGCTGGCCATAAATTAGATTATTTCATTTACCAAGTTACTCATACATATACAGGAACAATGTGTGTTCACCTCTCGCCTCTGTGGACAGTCTTTATCCTTCGAGCTCGGGTCTGCTACCAGAGACCTGGGAGCTTGAGGGTCCTGCTGGTCCCTTTGCTGTTCCAAGAACTGCATTCTTCTGCACAGATATTTCCTGGGATTGGCTGGAGCCACTTACCTAGCTTGGGAGTCACTGCATTTAGTGCTCTGATTACCACTGGGACCACTGTTACCTTCACCCTCCACATCTTCTCAAGCGCTTCTCTGAGCCCTTGGTACTTCTCCAGGTTGTCAAGTTCCTTCTTCCTAATGTTGCTGTCATTTGGTATCACTACGTCTATCACTACAGCCGTCTTCCTCTGCTTGTCCAGAGGAAGACGGCTGTCTTGTTGGTTAGCCATCACCATTTTGTCTGTCTGTGGAAGTCCCACAGGATCTTTGCTCGGTCATTCTTGACCACCCTAGGGGGTGTCTCCTATTTTGACCTCGGGACTTCCAGGCCATACTTGACACAGATGTTTCTGTATACCAGTGTTTCCAAAACGTCTTTTGCTAGGCACGCCAAGTCCAGCCTCAGGATGCTGGAAACCTTCCATGCATGGTCAGGCGCTTCCTCGTCTTGATATCAGTGGCTTCTCCTCCTTTGGCAAGATTATTACCCCAGTAGGGTAGCCAGTGTTGGGGAGTAACAGAATAGATGTACCGGCATTACGTATTAAAAATACTAAATATGAGTAACTGTATTCTGTTACAGTTACCATTTAGATGGGTGAAAATTAGAATGCCATTGTTACCATCTGACTACACTACTCAAATCTGAATGAGCTTCGAATTAGGGATGAGTTTAAAAAATAGATTTCCAGATTCAAATCAGTCTTAGTTTTAATAAGCCAATATCGATTCATTAAATCCTGAATCGATTTTTAAATATAAATGTATTTTGCCAGAAACATCAGAATCTCAGGTTAAAGGTCACGAAACTATTTCAACAACCGCCAAACAGCGAAAAAAGCAAATGAGAGCAGGTAAACAGATTCCGCAAAAAGATATAAACACAAAGAGCGGATCGTTAACCCGACAGCACATACATGTACACGCTGCGTGTGCTGGAAGCCGACACCTCACAAATTCTGAAGCTGCAGGTTTCGTCACTCGTGCCCAACAGTGCATATCCTTGGTAGATCCCCCACTTGATGGTGACTTGTGCGATGGTGTTGAAGTTAGCTTCTAGAATTGTACGCCCATTCAGTTCATGATGAAGGCTCCTAGAGTCCTGTTGATCTTTTACAGCTCTAGACATTCCAGCATCCAGGTGTGGGGCATCGAGTCATAGGCCTTCTTGTAGTCAATCCAGGCAGCACACAGGTTGGTCACCCTAGTGTTGCAGTCTTGGCTGACTGCTCTGTCTACCAGTAGCTAGCATTTTGCGCCTCTGGTATTCTTGCCAATTCCCTTCTGTGCCCTGCTTATGTATTGAGTAATGTTCATGTTCATTTTAGCCAGACAGGAGCTTCCATGTGGTACTGAGGGTGGTTATTGGCTGGTAGTTGGATGTGACTGGAATCTCTGGGAACTCTTTCAATACTGTTGGAAAACCATTTCAGGTGACTACATCACAAAGCTCAGCGAGAGAATGTCAAGAGTATGCAAAGCAGTAATCAAAGCAAAGGGTGGCTGTTTTGAAGAATCTAAAATATATGTTTTGAGTTATTTCAAACATTTTTTTCTACATAATTCCATATGTGTTCATTCATAGTTTTGAAGTGTGTCCAAACATAATGCTAGGAAAGTACCTGCAGCGGGTCAGGGAAGTCCAGAGGGGTGAGCTGAACGGTAAGAACAACGGTAAGCTATCAACACCTACACCCTGCCCATGATCAGGTACCCTGCTGGAATAATAAGCTTGCCAAAGGAGGAGATAGAAGTCATTTAGATCAAGATGAGGAAGCTCCTGACCTTGCATGCATCCTGCTGCTGTATGCTAAGTGCAAGAAAGGAGGCCGGGGACTGGTGAGTGTCAGAACCACATTCCAGGATGAGACAAAGAACATTCATGAATGCATAATGAAAGTGGCCCCAACCAACCACTTGCTCAGTGAATACCCCAGGCAGCAGAAACCCAAGAATGAGGAGCAAGAGGAGGAACCATCATGGAAGGACAGGCCCCTGCACGGTATGTACCACTGTCAGATAGAGGAAGTGGCTGACATCCAGAAAGATCCTGTGGGACTT